CTACCTGCAAAGTTGAAGAGGAACCAGATATGCTTTCAAGCAGACCATGCGGGCCCCCTGACCCTAAATCATGCAAGACCCCCAGGAGGAAGCAGCAAGTGACAGTAGTGGGTCACTCCCTGCTGCTGGGGACAGAGGCACCCATCTGCCCACCTGACAGGTCATCTAGAGACATTTGCTGCTTGCTGGGGACCTGGATTCAGGGTGTTGTGGAGGGACTGCGAGGCTTATCCAACCCTTTGACTATTACCCACTGCTGCTTCGGTGTGGGCGCCAATGATACCACCAGGGCCACCTGGAAAGTATCAAAAGTGACTACAGAGCTCAGGTGGGGAGGGATAGTCAGGGCAAAAAAGCTGGTTGATATTCAAGGATCACCTCCTCCAAGCTCAAGAGTGGTTCATCCCAACAAGCATCCCAAGTCAGGCAAAAATGCCAGCAGGCCAGCATGGACGATCAAGGAGCTCTTGGCCAAACTCAAACACAAAAAGGAAGCCTACAGAAGGTGGAAGCAGGGACAGGTAACCTGGCAGGAATACAGAGGCCTTCTCCCAGCATGCAGGGATGAAGTTAGAAAAGCCAGAGCCCAACTGGAATTGAATCTGGCCAGGGATGTCAGAGACAAGAAGAATGGTTTCTACAAGTACACAGGTGATGAAAGGAAGACTAGAGGACACGTGGACCTGTTGCTGAATGAGGCAGGGGATCCCAGAGACCAGGGGAAAGTCTGGAGCAAGGGAGACGTACCCTTGGTGGAAAAGGATGAGGTCAGAGAATACTAGACATACATGAATCCATGAACCCTGATGGGATGCACCCACGAGTGCTAAGGGAGCTGGTTAGTATCACTGCAAAGCCACTGCCCATAATCTTTGAATGATCCTGGCAACTGGGAAAGGTGCCCAAAGAAGAAAGCAAGTGCACTCCTATCTTGAAGAAGTTAAAGAAGGAACACCCAGGGAACTACAGGCCAGTCGGCCTCCCTTCAATCCTTGGGAAGGTGCTGGAGCAGCTAATCCTAGGAACCATTTCTAGGCACATGAAGGACAACAAAGTCACCAGGAATAGTCAGCATGGCTTCATCGAGGGGAAATCATGCTTGACCAACCTGATAAACTTCTATGACGAAATGAATGGCTTGGTAGATGACAGGAGAGCAGTGGATATTGTCTACCTGGACTTCAGTAAGGCTTTCAACACTGTCTCCCATAAGACCCTCATAGAGAAGCTATGAAGTATGGGCTGGATGAGCAGACAGTGAGGTGGACTGAAAACCGCCTGAACAGCCAGGCCCCACAGTGTCACGAGAAGTGGCATAAAGTCTAGTTAGAGGCCAGTAACTAGCAGTGTGCACCAGCGGTCAATACTGGGTCCAATCCTGTTTAACATCTTTATTAATGATCTGCAGGTTTGCTGATGATACAAAAGCAGGAGGAGTGGCCGATACATCAGAGGGTAATGCTGCCCTCCAGAGTGACCTCAACAGGCTGGAGAAATGAGCTGGCAGGAATCTCACGAGGTTCAACAAGAGGATGTACAAAGTCTTGCACCTGGGGAAGAACAACCCCATGCACCAATACATGCTAAGGGTCACCCTTAAGCAGCTTTGCAGAAAAGTCCACCAAGACCCTTAGGTCCACTAAGTTGAGCATAAGCAAGCAACGTGCCCATGTAGCAAAGGCAGCTAACAGTATCCTGGGCTGCATTAGGAGTGTTGCCAGCAGGTTGTGGGAGGTAATCCTTCCCCTCTACTCATCACTGGTAAGGCCACACATGGAATACTGTGTCCAGTTCTGGGCTTCCCAGGACAAGGGAGATGGAACTACTGGAAAGAGTCCAGCAAAGGGCCACTAAAATGATTAAGGGCCTGGAGCATCTTGTATGTGAGCTGACAGTAAGAGAGATCTGGACATGGTCCTGGGCCACCAGCTATAGGTGACCCTGCTTGAGCAGGGAGGGGGATGGACTAGATGACCTCCAGAGTCCCTTCCAACCTCAATGATCAGTGATTTTTGTGATCCTGTAATACAAATACAGATATTTTCTACAACAGGAATTCCCTCTTGAAAGCCTCTCCATCGAGGCTCCCTGCATGCAGGAGGGGAGTGACACCCAGCAGTTGACTACCTCTGTTACCTGCCATGAGTTTTTACCCATTTAAAAAAAACTTACCTCTGGATCTCAAACACTTGGGGGGGGTGGGAGGAAGGTAAGAAAAGTGTTTCCTCACACCAGTCCCACTTTTCACCCTGATCCCTGCTGATATTATTAGGGCTGCAGATCAGGTACACCAGGAGAAACAATAAGAGCATGTGCTTGCAGCCTGGTTAAGTGTGAGTATTAAGACATCTATATTGCCCTGAATAAAGCCATGAGATAACATCATCACATCAAAGCTTGCCAAGAGGGTACGTCTGGTAGATGTGGACAGTGAACAGTTCCATTTGATTGGTTTTAAGCAAAGCTTAATCAAATCAGGATGAGAGAAAAGTGTGTTACCTTGACTGGGTACCCACCTACAGTCTGGCTTCCTGCAACACCGTCCCCTTAACCGGAGGCAGCTTTTTGGCAGAGATAGCCTGGTTGGCCTTATTACTGTCTGAGTTCTTTTTATTGCTACTCAAAAATAAAGAGCATTTTTCCTAGAAGACAACCAGGCTGGTTTATGGTACACTTGGACATGAATTCCACAAGGGTTCCAATTTTAGGATTTTGAATCACTGTTTAACTAGAATCTAGTTATTAATGAAGATTTCAAAATTTAGGTTGAACTAAGCCCTAGTTAAGATTTTGGTCAGTGTCAAGCCAGTTTTAAAATGATCTGTTTGTGTTTTAAATGCATCGCCACACAGGCTTTAGGCCACATTAGCAGGAGAGCTACAATGCTGCATCTGGGCATGTTTTATGCCTCTACAGACTTACACTTTTTTTTTTTTTTTTTTTTTAGAACTGCAGGTCCAACAGATGTATTTCAAACTGGCTCCACTATACGCTAGACTAAGATTTAATTGTTTCACAGTACCTCATCTGGACGGGGTTTAGAGCACACTGCTCCCTCCAGAAGCCAGAGGCACACAAGATTGTCCATGAAGGAGTTGGGTTCGGGGAAACCTTCACACTGGCAGGCACCTGAAGGTGCAGACAATGCCCCCCCCTCCACCGCTCAGTGTCCCCTCTGACATCACCTCTGACTTCAAGAGGGAGGACTGTGCGTGATTAAGCAATCATTGCTAGATCAGCAACACTTCAATCAAATGAGGAACACACCTTGCAAATTGCTCTCTCTTGGTTTACAAGCTCTTATCTATTCATTAGGCAGCGACTTTCATGTGTTGTTGCACAGCTTCCTTAGATTTATAAGGTCATTGAGGCTTTTTAATCACTCTCCAGGTAGTCAGGCATTTCCTGCAGTTGATTTTTAGTTCTGGCACTTCATGACACTTTTGGCTGAGCACCCAAATACAGCTGGCTTACGCCTGGGTTTGGGATATGTCACAAGCAGATATTCAGTTGACTTGAGTGAATTTAAAATCCAGGTTTTCTTCCTGACCCTTTCTGGCATGGTTAAGGCTCTTTGATACCAGGAATTAAGACTCACACAAAGCAGGGTGAGAAAACGCCAGCCCAGGGCTGCATAAGGTCTTAGGAATAGCTGCCCAGCAAATACAGACATTTTTCAGATAGGCTGGTGGCATGCAGCAGAGTGAAGTCTGTTTGCCAGTGACTGCTTGCATTTGCTGAAGCAGGGAGGTTCAGCACACAAAGCCTGACCCTCTCGGGAGCACAGTAGGGGTTTAACGCTGAGCCCTCGGCCCTAGCATCGCTCCCACCCCGCAGGGAAACGCGTGGAGGAACAAGGGGATTTGGGATCATGCGTTGAAGTCAATTAAGCAGTTGTAGGCTTGGTTAAAATCCAATTACGTGACACTCTGAGAACCCTGGCGCTATTTAAAGTGGGTTTGCTTTCGTGTTTCAGTAAGGGCAGTTACAGGAGGTTGAGCAAAAAGCAGCCCCTTGCACACGCTCTCCCCTTCACCCGCCCTCAGCCTAAGCATTGCCTTTTTATCCCCACAAGTAGCCTCTTCACTTCTGTAGCTTTAGAGCCAGCTCAAGCTGTTTGACTGTAGTGCAAAACTAAAGCTTGCTTTGATATAGGTTAGGGAGCTAGGTCTCTGCTTCAAGAGCTAAAGCTTTTAAAGAGCTTAGTGCTATCAGATGAATGTTTTGGAGCCAGAGACACAGATCTCCATCAAGTGTTTTAGCTGTTTTATATTCTGTCCTTACAGCTCAGATCAGACTCGTGTGCCAGCCAGGCACCCTCCCTGCCCGCCCCATCGTGGGCCAACTTCTACCCAGCTGCCAGCTCCCTGCAGGCTTCGAAGGTCTTTGCTTCTCAGCAAGCCCAGATCCACAAAGGGCCTGAGGGTTTAACTTCGAGAGCTATTTGGAGTAGTTTGCAGGGAAATAGATGAGTTTTGGGGAAAGACAAGGTCCAGTCTGGGTTGAGAAGCAGCCACAGCGTCTGTGCCCCTTCCACAAGAACACAGCGACTCATTTGTGAGCAAGCTGCGCTCAAGTAGCTACATCCCCTCAAGAAGGCTCTGTTTGGATTAGAAAATTGTTGGGACCCTGTAGAGACGCGCAGACTTGTGCAGTGGCACAGACCTGCTGCTTTCCATGGAGGCTGGGTGGATGAGCTAGGCTTGCTCTTTCATTAGCTGGATGAGCTGAGAAATGCCTCCTCCTACAGGAACCCACTTCCATCGCTGTTGTGCACTGACATGGCCAGAAATGCTTTTATGTTTTCTATTTGCAGCCCAACTTCCAGATGGCCAAGGAAGTCCTGCTGCTATGTGCTAGCACCTGGCACCACTAGGACATGGGTCATGCCATCAGCCAATGTTTCCTCAGGCATGTTAGATTGTCAGCCCAATCTACATCATCTGATTAAGTCTGATTTGACTAACAGCCTTTCCCATTAGACATCTGCAAGTTCTTACCTGACTCATTGCCATGAGTACAGCTGCTGAGATAATGAGTGGGACACTCAGCCCAAGGAAGATATACTGCAGGTAGTCCAGCAGGGATGGGATCAGCACCAGGTTGGTGTAAAACTGGTTTAGGACTGAGCCTTCAATGGATCCGCTCTGCTCAGAATAAGCAAAGTTGTCAGTGGCATTTCCCTCTCATCCAGGGCTGAGATACCAGCTGCACAACTCCCCTCCCACCACAGATTAGGGAATTTATGCAAGATTCAGTCAGGCTAGAAGCTTTTATAAGTAGCTGGAGTCAGCTGGACATGCACACAGCTGGAGACTGCACTCCCTGCCCCACATTAGCATGGAGATGCTGGCAGCTCTGTTCTGGGCCCTATTTAACCCCACATCTAGGACAGAGCCAGAGGTTTACCAAGTATAGTGCAGGGTTTGTTCAGCTCAGAGGGATTAACAACATAGCCAAGTACTGCAAAACCTTCTGTTGGTGCTTAATTAGTCTGGCTGGCTTAAAGCTTTATTCAAAGTGGAGTTTCCCCAGCCCTGGGTGATGGGGAAGCAGTTTTCCCCCCTCCCGCAGAAGAGGCTCTGCAGAATCAGGTCAAGGAAGGCAGCTCACCTCTGCAAACCACAGCAGCGGCAGGACCACTGGCTTAATCTTCCCTGTTTGACTAGGGGCGGGGGTAAGGAGAAAAAAAAAAAAAGAGAAATACACACTTAGATTTCTGGTTGATCGGGCTACAACCAGTGTCAAAATTCTTCCTAAAGGGACAGGTCTGACAGACTGATAGTGGCCAGGAAACCAGTTAATGAGGTAGCAATTCCTGCAACCCCCTTGAGGGACCAGGTCCAACTTGGGCCTTTCATGCAAGAGCAGAGCTTACGCTTCCATTTGTGCTTAACTGCCTGACGACAGCAGTAAGTGCCATCCCAAATCTGGGCTCCACGGACATGAACTCAGTGAACTGGAAGGCTAAACTTCACACAGCTCAAAGACGTCTCAGTCACCTGCGTGGTACCAGAGGGTGGCGCAGGCAAGTTCACAGCATCAGGGCTGTCTGCTGGCACTAGAGCCGGTCAAAGCAGCCAGTGCACGCTCCCACCCTTGTGGGTATTTAACATCTGGCACCACACAACTGTTACAGAGCCCTTCCATTTGCTTTCATAGAGCTGAAGGTGTCTTTTTGGACACAGGCTTCAACTGTCAACCCTGTAGGCAGAGCGTGTTTTGCCTCTGTGTTGGATGTAACACCTTCTGCACAGCAGCACAGTGCAGGAGAACCGCTCCTGTGCCTCACCAGGAGACACAGTCCATTCATCAGCTGTCCGGTCAGGTGCAGGAAGGCGGCAGGAGCCAAGCAAACAGGCAGCCACACACTGCATTGCTAAAGGATGGCAGTTTGAGGTCACTGGAAGAGCTGACATTTCACCACATGCGCCAGCTGGCTTCTGCCACTGTGACAACTGGTAATGTTAAGGCTACTTAATCTTTGGGGAGAGTAAACTCTGCAGTGACCCCAGTGTCAGCAGCTCTCCCTGCTTGAGAAAGGGAGATGGCCATTGCTAAAAGGTGACTACTTACGTTATACCAGACACCTGCTTTATGTACAGATTCAGCTGGAGCTTGATGGAGCAATTCATGGGGATGCCCGTCATCTGCATAGGAAGAGATGAACCTGCTCATCAGTACAACCAACATTTGTCTGGAGAACTCTGCAGAAGAGCAGCCCTTTGCTTTCCATCATAGCTGCTCTGGGTGCCACCTTCCAGAGTGATGGACTGGATCATCCAGAGATCCACTGCAGTCACCACACACAAGACCAGAAGCATGGCTGGGCTTTTCACCAAATCACAAGCATCGGTCAACCAGGCACTGGCCTCCAGGCTCTCGGGATGATTGCCCATGGAGGGACAGCACTGTCTCCATGGCAGTTTGCAGTCTGTCCCCTTCACTTGAATGCTCACCAGCCAGCAGGTATTGCACACAGCGGCATCCAGAAGGGAGCACCTCCCTTGGGGTGGCCTGAAGGCACAAAGCTAACCTGAACAGACATGGTTGCTACAGAAGGCAGCAGCACGCATTCAGCAGGCAGACAGCATGAACCAGGGAGATGTTATGTGACCCAGGGCTTGTGGGACTGAACCTAGACAAGTTCAAATTGCCAAGTAGTCTATGCAACCCATAAGTGACTCCCTAGGCAGGATGTTTTCATAGCAATTTCAGTGTTTTCTGAAGCCTGATGAGCCTCTTCTGTTGTTCATCCTACGAGCAGCAGGATGGAAGCGCATCAATGCAAGAGATTCACGCACACAGCAAAGGACAAAACATCTCTCATAACTAGGAACTAACAGCCACTGTCCAGCAACACCATGAAAAACACCACACTTCAAAGCTGGTCTTGTTGACACCCATTAAGGCATGAGTTTCTCATGACACTGCAGTTTTGCAACACATTAAGGGCAGAGAGTTTGTATTGGATTGTCCCCATTTATACTCAGTAGGCTGCAGCCTAGGTAAGAATATAGTGAATTGCACTGTTATCAGTAGATGTTTGATACTGTAATAAACTTAATTAGATTTCCATAACTGTGATAAGAAAAGCAGAGATAACCCAACACCTAGATAAAAAGCACAGCTTATCGTACCTCAAGAGGGAGGATTGGTTTCTTGCTTGAGGAAGCACCACTGGACATTTGGAAGATCTGACCACACGCAACACGGGCCATGGGTGGAAGATCCCAAAGTCCCCTCCCCATCAGCAGCGGGACAATGTTGGCTCAGGACACCCCAGCTCATCACCACCGGAGTGGTGACTTCACCCTTATGCTATAGGTATGCACAAAGCATAACACTGAAACACTCCAGTGCAGAAGCAGCCAGATAAGCAAGCTGAGAGAGTAGAAGAAGCCAGCCCAAAAATTATGGTGATAGCTTCAGCTACAGCATGGTCTTCAGACTTTGCCCATCGTGGCAGTATGTTTGTGGATTTGGGGCGTAACTGGACTGCTGGTAGATACACCTACTGGTGTCATAGACCTGAGTCAGTGGGAAGAACTTGATTGTGCTTATCAAAATAATTACAGTTATAATTAGTTCTGCAATTCTCTAGAAGCCAGGCTGATTATTCAATTAGTTTATGGCTTTGATATTTTTTATCTGCACATGTCCTTGCCAGTCTTTGCACTTTGGAACCTGCTCAAATCAGTGCCACAAGAGCAGAGCAAGGCCACCAGGCAGCCAGTGGCAAGGGTTCCCCACCCAGCCGCTAGCCCAGGCCAGACCCCCAGCACAAGGAGAGGACCCCCCCAGGCTCACTCACCGGGTGCACGTCGAGGAAGAGCGCGTGCTCATCCTTGCTGGGGTGGAGGCCTTCGACGGCGTCCACCAGGGATGGGTCAGCATTGTAGAAGTGAGGGTGGGAAAGGAACATTGGTGCATCTGGATGAGAACAAAGACACCTTAAGCTCATCCAAACCTATCCGAGGCTTTTTGCTGAGGTTTTTAAAAGCCATTGCAGCACTTATTGTGAACAGGCTTTTATACTTTTCTCCTCCCAACCAGAAAGCTCCTTCCCTTCCTTCCCTGTAGCTTATTCCATTGCTCTGGGAGGGTCAAGACCCAGTATTTAAGCCACCCTCTCCCCCCACACAATGCTGTGGTAACTTGCTGTACCCTGACATGGGTTAGGACAGGGTAGGGTTAGGTTAACTAAGTCCGAATTCTCACTCCCGCATGACCTGCACTCAGCATCCAAAGTTAACATTTAATTTAGCGGTTACGTGGCTTGCCTCCTCTTACCCTTGCTCCCCTGCCTGCTCCCTCCCCAGCCTGGAGGAGGCAACGCTCCCATCCTATCCTAGGGCACTCCCACAAATGCCAGGCTGTTGTAGGGCCATGGACCTAGTGGACTTTGGGCACAAAGATTTTCCCTCTT